ATATATATATATATATCAACTTGATCTCTCTTTACAAAAGGTGACTTTCTTCTTTCTGAAAATTAGGTTACTGAGCTCTTATATAGGAAACGTGCGAAGGAGGCGTATGAGAAGGAGCTGGAGGAATTTGTTCAACTATTGAAGTCTGCAAAAGAATTGCATTTCCATTCTAAACCTCCGAAATCCTCATGGATGGTGGATGAGAATATCAAACACAGAATCTTGGCTCTTGAAGCACATGCTATAGATGCTTGGAAGAATGACGACCAAAAGAAAACTGCTGGAGAGGTGATTTTATCAGTTCAATTCAAACTGACCAAAAATCATTTATAGTCAATTATGATAAAAGAAAAAGACCCAAGAATCTGCACCCCAAGAGGGGGCAGTGCTCCCCATTTCTCTGACAAATAACTTCTCTTTATGTTATTCTATAGGTACTCAAGGCCATGGGGTTACAGAAAACTTCATCTGCAGCTATAAATCTCCTTATAGATATCGGATACTTTCCTGTACATGTAAATCTTGATATATTGAAGTTGAACATCCGTACACTTTATTCAGATGAAATTTTTAGAGCTGCCGATGAGATCTTAGCTACTTCTTGTGATCCGGACAAGGTATTCTTTCTGACTTTAACTTTTTACTGGTAATACCAATTTAAGAAGAAACAAACGTGGTTTACTAGGAAGAGTTATGTACTTGGGTATTTATAGTCTATTGCTTTTATTTCAGTTCAACCGAAGGGATCTCACATTCTTGAAGGTCTATGCAATTGATGTGGATGAAGCTGATGAGGTATTTTTAAGTAGTTTCTAGGAGTTCATGGAGTATGAGGATACCTAGCCAGAGTTTATTGGATCATCACAGTCCACTGAATTGATGGACAGTGATAGAGAGACTGGATGAACCAGAAAAGGTGATCTAGTATTGGCTCCCACTCGCTCTCCAGTCTCCATTACTTTCCAACTTTAATGGATGGTGATGACCCGATGAACTATGACTTTTCCGTAGTCCTTATGTTATAGTACACTGTTTCTTCTCCCATAATACAAATTGTTTAGGTAATTACTCATGGAGTGAAGGAAAAGAGTCTAGTGAGAAGAAAATTTTAGCCACAACACATCCCAAATCAAGCACACAAGTAGGAAACAAGAGAGAGAACCAGTTAGCTATGCATGTCTTCTCGAAGGGAAGCACTTTTTTTTCCCATTATGTTCTGAAATTTTCCACTCACCTCCTTTTTAATTCAAAAAAATAATAAATAAAGTAAAAAATACATTAGTATCCCTCCTTCCTATTCTACATGATGGCCAACCACCCAAAGAAACCTAACGCAACCAATTCCTCGTCTCTTTCTAGAATCACAAACCTAGGAAACACTGTTTTATCTTTCTAACCCATGTAGTCTCTACTCAATTCCCAAAACTAGGAATCTTACATGATCTACCACTTGAATGAAACCCGACAACTAAAAAAAAACTACCATTGACAATTAAGTAATGACCTAAACAATTTTCTTAAATTGTCCCCTACAATAAATCAAAACCCACCTTAATCACTTTATGTTTTAAATCCCCAATTAACTAATAGCCATAAATAAAAATACATCACTTAAATTAAATAAAAAATGAAAAAATACAAACAAGTTGCTCTTGCATCAAACTCCCGCGCCAAGCCCACGGCCTCCTTCACCCAAACATAGTGCATTGAATATGGGGCTTTGCAATCAGCTAATAATCACATAAACTCTCTTGAGATCATCTCGAGGAATGGTTCACTATGTGTCGATGGAGTAATCATGATATATAGGTTCGGTTTAGTCACATAAACTTGTTGGAGTTGCATTAGTTCAGACC